TAGTAAGAAGGAAACAGAACTTAAGGGGAACAAATGAAAGTAGGCTAACATAAGGTGAAGATTTTACTTGTTAAAACTTAAGCAATTAACAATAAATAACTTCAATGATTTGTTTCACCATTTCGTGTAGACCTTCTACAAGATTATCAAATAAACAAAGAATCAAAAACAAGTTCATATTAAAAGATAGTCCCATCATGTCTATATATTGGCTTATCCTGTCTACAGTGGAAATTCGCATTATTCGGTGCGAAATCTCCAGGCTGCCCAGATTTTATTGCTTAATGATAACCATTAACTGATGTCGATATCTCTTGAAATTGTAGCGACTAACGTCATTCAGCCATCTCAAGGCTGAGATTGTTCTCCATCAGTATTTATGAATAATGAGATTTTGTCAAGTGACTGAAGTTAAGAATTTAGGCCGTTGGATTCTGGTTCATTCGTTTTGAAGTTAAATCGCTCTCTGTTAGACCTGAAACTCCTGGGCCCCAATGCTGACATATTTGTAAGTCGCCACTGATAAGAAGTCTTATACTGTATCGATAAAGTTACTAAGCCCGCCCTAGCTTTAAGTTTTTTTACAAATCGACATCAATTAATGACATGAAACAACTTTAAACGTCATTTATATTTATTGCTTATTTATGTATTCAAAACCTAGCCGCTGTAAAATTTCTCATTTAAAACTAAATGAAAGTTCAACTAAATCATACCTGATCAACCATGTAAAAAATATTATAATAATATATTTAAACAAACTGACAATTAAAAACTAATATTCGTTTATTATATGATAATATACAAGTCAAATACACGTATAATTTGACAATAATCTAAGTACAATAATGTCTTTACAATGTTAAGTAGTTATTACGATCTTTTGAAATTATGAAAAGTACTTACTTATTACTAAATTTGATTAATCAATTCCAAAAGTTAATCTTATACAATTTACAATCTAACTATACCTTAATTTCCAGATTGTATTTTGATTCACTTCTTAATAGAAATGTTTCATTATTAGAAGTAATAAATCTAAATTAATTTTAAAATGAATTTCAGAAAGCTAATCACTTTGTATTGTATTATTTAAACAGATTTACATGACGGTAAGTTATGACATTTAAAAAAAATAATAATAATATTAATCATATTTTATGGATACGATCATAATTTATAAAGAAACTCATGAAATTCATCGAATGTTGAGAGGTTATTTTAAAGATAACCTATTGAGAAAATTCTTTTTTAAGGGAATCGATTTTTTCTAGTAATTACTATGATTATGTCAAGGATGATGTAAGGTAAGAAAGCTTATCAACCTTCTATATTGGCGAGAACAATAAACGGGTATAGATTTTGAGATTATCAAAAGTCAACTTACCGTTCGGATTATTGCTAATCAATTCAATCCAATCAAACTACTTGTGTATACGCTTTAAACTTTATGAAATTTATCAATGATCAGCTTGATTTTTTAAAACATTTCATGAATGTTCATTACAATGGAAACAGGAAACAAGCTTATTGTGATAAATGAGTCTTTAAGGGGAACAGAAGAAATTGACACTTATAGGTTACTCAATGTACAAAGTTACAATTACTAAAAACAAAGTTAAAAATGTAGTTTCATTTCCGTTGGCAATCGATAGAAATAAATAAGTCTTTTTATGATGGCAGAATCAAATGAATGCATTTCGAAGTAATCACACAAAACATTGTTTTGACACTTCAATCAATTAGGTCATTGAATAAATATAGTAGGACTAAAAATCGATGATCTACAATTTGCCGGATTCAATAATTAGCATATTTCATCTAACAAGCCATCAAGTTATGATTGTTACCACTTTTGCCCAACGTATATGACATTTATTATTATTCACAGGGATTTAGACGTTTCTCCTGTTGATAATGAAGTATTGAATTTGAACATTGGATCTTGTGTTGAATAAATATTTTCAGTAATATTGCCTAATAGATTAATTTCCTAGCTATTAATACATCTACCTCAAAATTAACTATTCTGTCAGTATAATGTTATTTTGATTGTATTTAATACATTCTGTAGTAAATAATAGGCCTTATCCATTCATATTGTCATAATCGTAAACGCACATTCCAATTACACAATATAAAACTATGAGCAAAATACTTACTAATTTTAGTTATGAGTGGACTGGCAGCTTTACAGAAAACATTTTGGAGTATATCTTAGGGTGATCAAACTGAAATATGTTGTCACTGACCCTTAAAATGATACATATAGAATAAAACAGACTCAGCTAGATAATCTTAATTAAGCATTGCTTAAAATGACCTACAATGATGCAGATAATCACTTTTCTTCCGTAGAGTTCAAAATACTGAACTTGTTTCTTTCAATTTCTTTGCATTTTTCTCATTATGTACTAATGTTTTTATGATCCTACTTATTTCGTCTTTACTCATGTCAACTTTCACCGTAACAATGTATACTGTAAAAACAAGCACACATGATATTACCAAATTTGCTAATCTTAATAAATCATACTGTGGAACATATTTAATATTAAAAATTCTTTAAAGTGAACCTATACGATCTTTATCTGTGTTCAATAAAAGATCAATATTTCATGCAATAAAACGAAAGGATTAATCATGGTTCAAATGAGTGAATTAAATGAATAACAAGATGTGATGTTCCTACTTTAAAAAAACAATCTGCTGTAGTCATATATTCGAGCAATTATTACAAGTTGTTTATTGCACATTGGTGAGCTGTTATCAGACGGTGTTTCGTTATTATTAACTACAGACAGGAAAAAATGCTAGTAACACATCGGCAACGAAGTTGATGACAGGATAAATATTCATCACATCGATAACAGTCGATGTTACTTTAACATGTGAAAGGAAGGTACTCGATCAATTACGAAAAAGAATGGTCTGTATATCCAGGTGAACCCCTGTTTTTCATTTTGTATAATATCTGGTGGCGATATAAGATGGAATGTATACCTACTTGACTAGTTTTTTAAGGTTAATAATAAACAGACAATTTGTATAAATTGAAAATCTCACTTTTTTGAAAAACTACATATAATCGGAACATTTACATCTTATAGAGACTTGGAATACAATTTACTGAAGAACAAATGAAAGTATTAATGCAAGAATTAGATCCAAAGAATCTAGAAGAGATTAACTTTACGTAAGTGAAAAACTACTTATTTAAAGAAATAAATAAGTATTTAAATTATTTAAAAGTAGATGTTTTATGATGTAAATATGAAGGGAAAATATCGATTGCAATGCACGAAATTCTGGTTACTTTGAAGTTGTAAGATGACAACGTAAAAAATAGGATGATTGTCAAACCTAGTTTATTAGAAATTAAATGCATTTAGTATACTCAAGGGAAATTCTAACCTTAAGGTTAGAAGAAATTTATGATCAATGAGGTTGTTTTCAAGATATGATAAATAAATCTTTTAGCGTGCTCTAAACTGACAACCCGGGAGCAGCCATACATGTGTGCATGTCAGCCTCAACATTACATTCCACACGTTTACCAGGAAACGATTATTTGAAGCGTTGATTAGTCTGTCAAGCTTCTCATCGGTTTCCCATCACTAATATTCATTTTTGCAGTCAAATAAAATACATTTCCAGAAATAAATATTTGTGGCTTGCATTTGCCATAGATTGTCATACCCTTAAAAAACAAAGTACATCTGCTTTGTATTAGCGAGAGGCTTCTCAGTAGTAACACACCAGATCTAGCTGATCATCGAACACAAGAACTTTAGGTCTCATGGCATGTGGTTAACGAATAGTCTACTAGGATAATTTTTAATGGTCTACATTACCAACTTCAGTCGTTTCTCAATATACCATAACATCAAATTCAATCAATAACAACCGTTTCATTCCCGACATGAGAGAAATCTTAGATATTGCTTTCTGATAAAACTTCATGAACTCATCTACAAGTCACTAGTAAGTATGTGACTATATTCTTTCCAAGCTTTCGTGAGAATGAGTTCTGTTTCCAGGTGGCAATCTGTTATCCTGGGATGTTCAAATTAAATGTTTTACCCACTAAATCCTCTTATTTTCATTCATTGTCTTTATACAATGAGTGTTGCTTTACTATCTCAGAAAGAAACAACGAAAAACCGTAGGAATATTTTAAACTAAATACAATAAGTGTGTATTTGTCTATATTATGGGGTAAAATTTTATTCAAATATTAAGACAATTGATAAGCCTAAATAAAAATGTTTCTTGTATATATTTCGTCAATGCTGATGCAGTTTAAAACAACGACCACTAGTTATGAACGAACTATACACTCCTTATTATGAATAACATTCTTAATGTTATGGTAACCAAAGTAAAATGGAAGAAGCTGCGCTGTCGAATGCAATGAAACTAATACAAAAAGTCTTTAACTTAGCTGAACTCTCACATCTAAATCTGAATCTTACAAGTCAGAGTTTGAATAAATACGGAAAAACAAATCGAAAAGCATCTCAATAACTAGCAAACTTACTGTTAATTTAATAACAGGTTATCTTGTCTTTTTTCTACTCAAGATGTCTTTGTTTTTTGTTTACCGTTGCGGATTATTTCTTATCAATTTAACTGAAGCAAAATCGTTAGTCTGTCGTGTCTTGTAAAATAAAGTGAAATTTTGTTGTACTAAGGTTAAGTGTAATTTCCAAGCAACTCATCTCACACCTGAAGTTAAAACCCCGATAAATCGCTAAAATAGAAGCGGTCGTATCGCAAACTTTTGTGAAGAGATTAAAGGGAGTGGTATGTAAAGAGATCAATTATGAATTGGCGAACTATTCGCTAAACCTGTTTATCTTATTATTTTTCTTTGTTATTATTATCATTATCGTTTCAGAGATTTTGAATTATAAAGATATCTTCTTCGAAAAATCTCAGTCTGATTTCTGAAAGCTACACAGAACTCCAAAAATTATTTAGACAACAAACAAAAAACTCTGAAGATATTTTTATTTGTTCTCATTTTATATGCCCTTGATTTTTTTCTGAATTAAAATTTTAAATGAAGTAATAAAAAATACTTTATTGACTAACTGATATAATTTTGTGCAAAACAACAGTCGAGGGAAAATTGCTAGACATTTAAATAAGTAGTATTAGTAGTTGTTGTAACAGTGGAACACAATAAATTTTACAAATCACAAGTATGCTGAGATGCATCAATAGTGAAAGAGCATTTTATATAATAAACTAGTAGGTAGCTTGCATTGCCGGTACGAAAGGCAGTTAATTAGTTAAAAAGCTAACTGTTCACTGAATATTCTTAACCATTTTTACAGTAGTTACAATATTATGCGTATCAGGATAAGAAGCACGCTCCAGATTAAGAGCATATGGCATAGGAATATCTGCGCCAGTCACTCGTAAAACTGGAGCATCTAAATAGTTGAAAGTATCCGCTAAAAAAATTCATAAAATATAAAGGCAAAATATTTAGTTCGTAATATTTTAAATATAAACTATATATATAATGGTAACAAAATATTGGAGCAACAAGTTATAAATTAAATTGTAATGACTGCTTGTGCATACAACCTCCAACATTGTTCTATCATCTTATAGATTGAGATTAAAGCCTAATAATTTGGATTATTTGACCACAGACTGGTAGGAAAGCTAGCACCATTCACAAAAACAGGTGATTGATTCTGATACCCCTCACGAATGATTTCTTACATCTAACTTTGTTTAGTAGAGCGTCAGTTAAAATTATAAACAAGTCAATTCAAAGTATAAATCTTATTGAGTTATTAAGTAATTGTTTAATGAAAATGTCATAAGTGAATTAAATATCCCTGAACCAACAATATTCAAAGTCTAAATATTAGTAAGAAATTTGTAATACGATAATTGGCTGAAATATTCAAAAGCAGTCGTAACTAAATTGTCATAACGAATAAAATGATATAACTGAAGCTTTGCCATTCCATTTAATTAAATGATCATGACAATTACTTCTTAGGTCATGAAACAGTGAATTTACTAACTCAAAGAGTGTAACTCATTTTCATTAAGTACATACTATGAATTACAATTTAGTTATGTAAAAACTAAATGATACTGGTACTCTATTTTCGAAATTGAATCAATCAGATGGAGCAGTGTTTGCATCTGTAACTTAATTGGATAAAATCTGAGTTGTCTTCTTAATCATGAAGTCATTAATCTAACAAAAAGCTTCAATTATTCAAACATCAAATAGAAAAGAATAAATATTTTATTATCTTACAGTAGGTTGATGATTTTCTCAGACTTACTCTCAATTTTGATTATGGTGAATGTTTACGGTGCATTTTATTGCAAAATTTAATATAAAACGTGATTTAAAAGAAACCTAGCATCCTGAAGTTTTCAGAAAGGATATGAATGGAATAATATATTTACAATGGGTACTAAACTTACTTTCCATGACGCGAGCACATATTTCAGCACCAATACCACATACAGGCCAACCATTTTCTACGGTTACTAAATGATGTGTCTTTTTAACGGATTGAAATATTGTTTCTTCATCCATTGGCCGCAAGGAACGCAAATTAATTACCTAAAATAAGAAAAAAAAGGATGGAATATATCCGATATATTAAAGTCTACCTTGCAGTGTCAAGAAAATAAAAGGACAACTCAAAAACACATGAGCCAGGTTGTATTAATTGACCTATAAGCAAAATATACTATGCAGTGACTGGCCAGTTAAACTTTGACAGTAGTCCAAACTTATCGTCCACTGGTTGGAAATTAGTTCTAAATTATGTAGTCACAGCCCCACATATAACCTGTTTAAATATGATGAGAGTTGGGGTATTCAAGATGACAGAAACTAGTGGCCGGAAACAAACTGAAATAACTTAAAATCAACCACAATATTACAGATAAATACGTTCTGTATCTTCTTATGACTTTTGGACATCTTAATAACCACCATTAATTGGACCTAAAACCTATCTGTCATGATTTTTATTTCAAAATTATAAACTGTCTGGTTCATCTGAAAAGACTAGAAAAAAGGAGAATGATATAAAAGTTTGAGTCATTTAATTATATAAGTGAGTGGTTGAGGAAAAACTCATTGAAAATTATTCTACACACGGATTACCAAAGAAAAACGGTGAAAAATTTCTTGCATACCTCGGCACTGATACCTAGTTTTGATAATTCTTCAGCAGCGGCAAGGCAAGTACCCACACCTAAACTGTAACTAACGAGAGTGACATCTTTCCCTATAAATTAAAATACAAAAAACGACCAGTAAGTATGTAGAACGTTGAATACACGATTCATAACATTCGCTTTTCTCTCTTTACATTTCAAATTACCATGCACAATTCTTATCTACAATACTTTAACAAACGCGTGACAAAACTGTTAGAAATCTATTGCACAAACATCTATCATACATCGTAGATCAACTCTGTTTGTCACGCTACTATTGAGATTTTTTTTTAAAAAACCCAAGTGTTTTGAAAGACAAATGACGTTTCTCCTACAAACATTTATAAAAAGGACATATTTTAAAACAAAAATGTGGACATTTACGAGAACTTTTAAGATATGAGAGAACAGCTTCACAAATAGAGGATTTTGATCAAATTTACCAATGAGGTTAATTCCAAAACAAAATTCTAACACACCAAAATAAACTTAAATGGGTATTTGAGTTACACGGCAAAGTAAGAAATTATCCTTTAAGTTTAAGGAGAACAAAAGTTACTACATGTATAGTCACCTTAAATTTACGATTCCCTAAACATTCTAAACCTCAAAAGCCTGAGCCAACATAAGCTTTGTCGTCTCTAGGCTATTGTGAATATTTCTTTCCAAAACTTCCTACTGCCATGTGGAGGACTTTTCTTCCGCAAATATTTTTAACTGTGATCAACTTTTGGACCACGCACATATTTAATTAATTAGAGACAGTAAAGAAAGTATCTGATAATCCAACTTCGACTAAATTCTATCATTCTAAAAATGTAAGAAACGAATGAAGGAAACATACTGCACGTAAACACCATAAGCAATATAATTGTATAATATCATTTTAAGTGTCAAAGATATTAGTATTTATACTGACAACTAAGATTTGCGAGGAAGTGACGTATACGGTAGTAACTATTAATGAATGTTATTTATGTACAGGTCTAGTTTTTCCCCCATACGCAAAGTGTTGGAAAACAGTAGATTTCCTCTACCATAAAGGTGGAATCAATAAAATTTCATAATCAACAACGGAAATTACTGATTAACGGCTCTAAATATTGCTTCCTAATAAATCCTATCTACGATACACAGATACACCATCTAGCCTGACAAAGACATCAAAAATTATGTGCGCCATAGCTGAGTCATTATCTAGCCGCTTAATACTACTGTTTTTTTATATTATAGGATGCATAAATTCACATATCAAAATCAGAAAAAGATAAGTGAAAAGCCATAATTAGTCAATCGAAACTTATATATGATCAAGCGATAGACTTGTCATTGAAGTATTTGCTTTATAAACAGCATATAGTGAGTTTGAACTGAGGACTAACTGCTTCGGTTAGAGTAGCGAATTACTATTGAAAGCTCTTCACAGAAAGTTTTTCTAAAATCTATATCCATGGAACTATGCTTGATCACGGGGTTGCGTCAATTATTTTTAATAGCCACATCCTTTCCTTGTCAGCTTAATATATCCAATGCCTGTAAATAGCTTATTTCAATAACAAACTCTTCACATTATTGTGAAAAGAATAATAGATTTTTTTAGATCACATCTGTTATTGATGGACAGAAAATAATTTATGCTTTTCGTCATAATCGTATTATAAATATCACGAGAAATGGGTACAGGATGGCTTTACGCTTTAATTTTGAATTACTTTGGTTGAAGATATGAGTTGGCGAGAAGTATTTAATCGCGAGTTACTGTAAAGTACTGGGTGAATAATATAGAGATGGAGCATAAAGATCTTGGTAATTAGTCATCTATAGTTGTTAGCTTATGCACACTGAGGTGCTTAAGACATACGTTACACAAGTTACGCAACCAATAAACGAAATATCATCATTAGTAGGATTGAACTATAAAAATCAAAGGGTGACAAGAATGAAATATGAAATTAGTTTTGAGATTACTGGTAGTTGTTATGAATTGGGATCGAAAGTCGAAGTGCTGAACAACTGACGATAATGACATGCGTAAATTTATTCTTGATACTGCATTAAATCTTAGGAACCATATAACACTGCATGTATTTACTCCATATTGCACTCATGTTTTTCCTATTTGCATTCATATATTTTTCCCTCTCTTGATGCCAAATATTTTTTTACTTCAAAATGTGGTAGCTTTAAAAAAGTGTGGGGTTAAACACTTCTCTTTCTTGTCCTGGTTTACTTTGTTTGTTTATAAAGCAACATCATATCAAATTTTACGTTTTTTTAAGGTGATTAAAGACGAAAATGTAGGACATAAGTAAAGTTGTAAGAAAAACAATGGGCGAATGAAAACTACTAGAAAAGTTGAAATACAAAGTAGTGGAGTTGTATAATAGATATACAACTAACACATTTTAAAGTCATATATTAGCAATTAGTAAATACTCATGCACCAACAGTGAGAATCTAATGCTGAATCAAAGAATAAGGACGGAAAAACTTGAAAAAGAAAGAGGCTTACCTTCCCTTTCAACTTTAGCTTGACCTATAGGAAGCAAGAAGTCTGAAGACAATGCTTCGTCTGAAACATCAAATGACTGTCCATATAATAATTCGCTCTCCAAATGAACCACTGATATATGAGGAAATAAATGTCAGAATAATAATGGAATTATATCAATCTAGTACTTCAGTAAAAATAAAATCGAAATAAACTCCAAGTAAATTGTTATTAATAAACATTGATAGGATAAAGATTGTGAAATATGCCCGTGTAGATTCATTCGCAATTTATTTCCAACAAGATCAAACGTTGATTTACTTAAATCACTTCTAGAGAATTCTAAAAACATTCCCTATGATCTGCAAGCAGCGAAATATTTCTTGAGTAACAGAGATTGGTCTGACTAATGTAGTTCATAAGATCACCAGACAAGGACTAGGAGCCGTGAAGCTGAGTACAAAACCCTATACTTGATAAATAAACTGCATTATTGAAGAATAATTTTTTAACCTTTTAATTCAACTAGCCGACCGAAAGGACCATTACACTACCTCTGGACCACCAGTACGGTTGGCAATGCCCCCAAATGCCCTGGTACAGCCGAGTGGGGAGAGTCCGCTCTCCCTGTCGAAATGCTCTCACATGGCCACGCGTATATAGCCTCTGCCAGGAAAGTCCTACTCACTGCTTTCTACCTGAGGGAGTGTTGTTTACGAAAATGAGAGGACGAAAAGCGAATATCCGGAGCTTTAACCGGATTCCAAACCAATGGTGCACATGGGCTCCAGTATCCTGAGGGAACAAATGGCGTATGAACCAATTGTTGGTCACCGGCTACCATGGGACTGCATCTCCTTACGATGCTCCACTGCCTTGTGGATCACACCTTCGGGTCGAAGGCTCGGGGAGTAACCCCCTAAGAAAACCACCTGCCTCGGTTTGGGCACCCAGACAGTATCACAGCCCTCACACATGTGGAATGAGATTTGTATGGCGCATATGTATTTGGTACCTTTTTGTGCCAATAACTATGTGTTGAAATAAATAAATAAATTCTGATCTGAACACGCTTATATATAGATGTATTGCCGCTCAACTACCTATGCTATAATGTCTGAGCTAGCTAGACTTTAGCAGTAAACAGTAGATTGTTTGTACCAGGTAAAAACAAAACTTACAAACGATATATATATATATAACTTACCTGGATCCGGATCACGTATGGCCGATTTCAGGAGACCTCGACAATCTTCACAATTGTAGGGAGCCAGAACTTTAAGACCAGGGCAACTAGCGTACCACGCACCGTAATCCTGACTATGCTGGGCGGCGACGCCAGCAGAGCATCCATTTGGCCCTCTGAAAACAATTGGGACTGACACCTAGAAAATATAAGAAACAGAAATGATATAATGACTTGGATTGTTATTTTTTCAGTGACGTGAATAGTTTTGTTTCGTAGGCAACGTAACTGGAAACAATATTGTGAAACAGCACAGTAATTTATTCGAAAATGAAAGCTCAGGAATGAGATGATAGCAACTTCGAAATTCCACAGGCTCTCCACAAAACCACACAAAGAAATTCAAAACTAAAAAAGTAATTCACATTAGACTAATGTTCATAAATTATCTCATTCTTTTAGAAACCAAATATTTCCATTATAACTGTTAAGCACAATATAAATAAGCACTTTTTTAGGTAATTTGTAATCAGGTTTTAAAGCTACTGTTCTTTAAAACCGATAACTTTAATAAGCAGTCTAAAGTGGAAGTTTATTGTTATGCCTAACGAAACAAAACGAGAAACTTCTTTGATCAAAGACTAATATTAATCAAAGGATGATTTACGACAGAAGCCAAATCAGTGAGCTGTTATTTAGTGCCTAAATGTCGATTCACTGTGGTATTTGAAGGATCCGACCGTTGTTGTTACCTTGACGTGGTGGTCAGGCTTGAATCAGTCGAGCTATACTGGCTGGAACAGTCGTTCCTCAAGGTCCTACAATGCCAGACAGGTCGGTTGAAGAGCGGTAAGACTAAAAGCAGATAACACAAGGTCTGAGGGCGAAGTCGTACTGCTGAATGTACAGAGGTATGACAGCAGTAACGTGCTTCCTTCAGACAACCAGCATGACAGCGATGCTGCCTTCCCACAAGGAGGGGTGGGGTTAGAAAAGGTCGACCCTAAAAATGCACACCTCGCCTTATCCCACGGATATCCGTCTCCGGTGGTAAGGTCTCAAGAAGTACGGCACTAACACAAAAATTACTCATAAAAAGATCGTGTGTGACCGACTTCAAGCATTTGCCCCTTGAACACTGAGGTCACGCTTTCAGGTCACTAAAACCACCTCTAATCCAATCTCATTTTCAGGTGACTCCAGGAGAACCCTTCCACGGTGTGGGCAACCGGGAAGTGATAACCGCCCTCATACTTCTAACAGCACTCAAAACCACTGTATTCATAATCAACTTCCCTCTTCAGGCTGGCTTCAGACCTGCTCATAGCTGCATCGGCCAAATACTCACCATTCACCAGATTCTAGAACACAGGCATACTTATCGATGTCCAACAATGGTGGTCTTTCTTGACTTAAAAGCAGCATTTGACTCCGTAGACCGCGAGATTCTGTGGCAGTGTCTGTCATTGAAAGGCGTACCCCAGAAGTACATAAACCTTGTAAAGGCTCTTTACTCGAGCACTACTAGTCGAGTCAGAGCTTATGGCGAACTGTCATCTACTTTTGCAACCTCAAGTGGTGTCCGTCAAGGCTGTCCACTTTCTCCATTTCTATTTAACTTCATCATAGACCTACTGATGGAAATAACATTCTCGTCGACTGAATTCTCGGGTATTGATCTCCTACCAGGAGGTCCACTTATCGGTTTAGAATACCCAGATGATATAGTCCTGTTTGGTGAAGACGCTGATAAATTACAGTCTTCTGGCAGCACTAAGCACCAATGCCAGAATGTTTGGAATGCACTTCTCTCCCTCTAAATGCAAGCTGTTGCTTCAGGACTGGTCTGCGTCAACACCTGAACTAAGGATAGGGAATGAAGTAGTGGGACGCGTTGACAACTTCACTTATCTTGGAAGTATGGTCAGCCATAATGGGTCGGTGTCTGACAAAATTTCAGCACGGATTCAAAAAGCTCGTTTGGCTTTTGCCAACTTACGTCACCTATGGCGAAGGCGAGATGTTCGTCTATCAATAAAAGGATGAGTATATTGCGCGGAAGTTTGTTCTGTTCTAATTTACGTCTGCGAAGCGTGGCCATTAAGAGTAGAAGATACCCCTAAGTTACTAGTATTTGATCACAGATACCTTAGAAATATTGCTTTCATCTGCTGGGATAATCGAGTACGTAATCATGAGGTTAGACGCAAGGTATAAGGGAATTATAGCAAATAAGTTGATGAGGTTGTTAATCTTCATCGACTGAGATAGTCGAGTCACGTGTTGCTTACACCTGAAAACAACGCGCAATGCTGACTAGTGGTGGGGATGGTTGAAAGGAAGTTAGGGGCGGCCGAACCAAAACATGTCATCAGGGCTTGAAGTTACAAACTTCTAGTCTGAGTCATGCTGGTAGATGAAAACTACTTGGTTGGGGTCCGTGTGACTTTCGTAACCAATGATTGGAGACTCTGGGTGGCATGGCTCAGAATCGATCACAATGGAGTCGGTGTATACACTATCTGTTTTCCCTTGAACTATGAGATCAAAATCGCTTCATATCTTTCTTTCTCCCTGTAGTGTGTCCTGATATGCAATCGTTCTTTTGTATATTACCACCACTGAATTAACTACTATGAATCCGGTGTTCATCTTGTTGTCTTAATGAGGTATGGCAACTTGGACCGATGCAAATGTATGCCTGGCCCTACGTTGTAGCTGACTGATTGAAATTTGAATGAAATAATGATTCCTTTGTACTTGAGTGCCCGCTGACTACAGATTTGAAATACAGTACTTTCATTCGTACTCAACTACTTCTAACTGCCTTAAATTGAGCTATTTCGGGAATTCTTAGTTAGTACATTAATTCAAATACTTCTAATTATTATATTTACTCATACAAAATTATGAGTGCCGTCCGTCTAGTCTCTTATATGAATTGATTAGTGTGTTGTTTAGAAGTTGAGAGCTTATCTAAAAGCCATCAGATGTTTGGAGCTTTCTAACTAATTTGACTAGTGTACAGTACCTCAAGAAGTCAGTACTCCATCTAATATAACTTGATGATCTAAACATGATCACCACATCAAGGTCAAAGCCACTATGGAGTTACTGATTACAATATTCAACAACAGAACCGGTAACTCCATTTCCTGTGTTATTCGTAGAGTTCTGAGTAACTTCCTAGATGTAGAATATGTTTATTTAGATTGTACTCTTAAATACCGTGTTACGGTATTATGTCAGATTGTTTTTTTAACTGACAGTTTACTTAATAAATCTGATGATCACTTGAAGTATGACGAATAAGTTACTGTACACCGGACAGAATATGTCCGAATTGTATGATTTGATTTCCTAATAACATTGAATTGTGAAGAGCGCTGTGAGGCATGATACAGCTTGTTTAGTTGACGAATACCACGAAAATATCCACACAAAACAATTTAACAAGATCCATGACTACTCAACTTGAGGGAAATTATTAGGATATGTACATAAAGTCCCAAATATTTACACTCCAATAAACTTAATGAGTCAGGTATTCGCGAAAAATGAATTACAGGCAAAAAATATCCGTATGGTGCCGCACATATGACTAGTAGTAATATGTTTATAAAAACTACAGTAGAGGAATTGTCGTGGTTTGATTTAAAGTAGAATAAACAAATATTGGTCTTTTTAAAGCAGTTTTACCATATCAGAAGTTGCCATTCTCTACCTAGGTAGTCAAACTTTTAGTTAAAGTTATAAGATTCAGAGACCTTTAAACCCATGACTAAACAGATTGAGTACATTAGCATTGGATAACTGAAAAGTGGTAATTACTAAGATCAGTTACTATTGCACATATATAGGATTTTTTATTACGCACTCAAAACGCAATCTACTTTTTTCCTTAATGAACAGTTGATTATTGATCCAAGTGAACACAATAAGGTAGTAAACAAAAAAAGATCTGAGACTGAAAACCAAAGAGGAATAATGAATGTACTAATGTTGCAAATTACAGAAGTAATTTATTAAGCCATTCATTAAGCGAACTGTTTATCAAAAATAACTAAACGTGTAGCCCAGTCTCACAATAAAAGCCCGAACGCTTGAAGCACTTAGTTGAACACAAAAAAATTAGACATGACAGTTGAGGAGAAAACACAAAACTGTTTTACTCACTAGTCCAGCGGACATGTACGATGATTTTGCAGCAGAATTGATTATTTGGTCTATAGCCTGCATAGCGAAATTAAAAGTCATGAATTCACATATAGGCTTTAGGCCAGCCATAGCTGCTCCAACAGCAATTCCAGCAAACCCCATCTAAAAATTACAAGTGAAATAAGTGCCCTAGGTAAAACTCTATACCTCTGTTATCGGTGTATCCATGACACGACTATCTCCAAACATCTTCCAAAGACCTTTCGTAACCTGGCAAACTAAACTTTCGATGCCATGATATCATACTTTGTAGGCACCGTCATATTCAGCAACTTCCTCGCCTAGAATAATAACATCTTTATCTCGTTCCAGTTCTTCACGCATAGCAGAATTGAGGGCATCCCTAACAGTCATTTTAGTACCAAAAACAGAGCTAGATGTCTTAAGTGACCGACTACATAGCTGTGGTCTGAAACTCTGGTGAGTTTAGTAGGGAACAGTGGGAAGACAAACCTTTGCGAACAGAAAAAAGCGTTGCGAAACAGACATGTAAATCAAAGATTGTAGTTGGCGCCAGTGAGTGTGTGTACCCAAGCGACCATATAATTGGGTAATACTGTTGGAGCCATATTTGCTTTAAAAGTTTTCTAGGTCATTAGGAAAATAACAGATCACTAATTTTGCTTTCGAGTTCAAAGTCTGATATCTTCTACAAGTGAGTTGTTGTATGTTTCTAGTTTCTCCTTTAATGAATTAATGAAGCGAAAAATTACCATCCTAAACTCCAGTCATTCAAAATTGTTCAAATAGTTGTGGACGGAATATAAGAAGCTTTCGCTTAACAAGCTTCCGTGTCTAGTAGCAGGGGATCACCAAAACCTCCAGGCAGGAACCTGGGTGTGTTAACAATAAAACAGGAAAAAGAAATCGGTAAATCATAGTAAGATATTGTCCTTAGTCCTTAAAAATAGGTCAAGTTTCCTCTTAAAGGACTCCTTGAACTAGCTCAGCCGGCAGCGAATCCCAGCATTTGACAACTCTTAAGGAGTATAAGTTGTGTCTACAGTCCGTTCCGCTGTGTTGTATCCCCAATTTCTGGGTGTTACCCCTTAGGTTAGTATTGGAACTAAGCTAAAGTAGGTGTTTAAGGGGATGTCCAGAAGTGTCAAGGATAGTGTAAGCCATTAGAAGTTCACCTCTAAGATGCCTATACTCTGATGAGTAAAGGTTAGGTGATTGAAGGCGCCCATCGTAAGGATTGAATTTGAGTCAACGGACCGATTTCGTGGCTCACAGTTGGATATGCTCCAGAGTGTCCTTATCCTTTTGAAGTGCAGTAGGAAATACTATGTTTCCATGCTTTAAATTGGAACGAATAAGACTGCTGAAGATTATGTTAAAAGTTCTTCTGTCTAACTGGCCAAAAATGCGCCTCAACGTTACCAGTGCAAGGTTTGCTCGGAAGGCATTTTTGTCACAGTTAGAGTAAGACTTCAAATCATGGGGCTCCAGGACTCCTAAATCCTTTCCGACTTGGGATACTACTAGGGAGGATTTTCCTAAGTTGTAACTGTAGTTTGCAACATGTCGCAGATGGAATACTTTACACTTTGAAGTGTTAAAGGTAAGTCCGTTATCGTCTGCCCAACTTTGAAGTCGAGTCAGATCCTCCTGAAGTGCCTGTGTATCGCCTTGGTTGCTTATCTCTCTCCAAAGTTTCACGTCGTCGGGAAAAAGTAATAAGTCTGACGTTACCTGTTGAGGAAGATCATTTATGTAGATCAAGAAGAGAAGAGGTCATAGTACTGAGCCCTGGAGGACCCCACTAGGACATTCCATAGCCTGGGATAAAGTGAAATTAACCTCGACCTTAAAATGTCGATTTTTCGGGTATGAAGTGAGCCAACTGATTAGAGGTGTTCTGATACTCAATCGTTTGAGCTTATTAATAAGACATGTATTGTTAACCTTATCAAGAGCTTTTGATAGGTCTAGGTAGATGATATCAACCTTCCCCTTGCGATCGAGGATGCTTGTCCATCTGTCCACCGCAGTCAGCAGGTTGGTTATAGAAGAGTAACCCTTCCTGAAACCATGCTGTTGGGGTGAGAAGAAATTTAAGGACAGTAGATAGTCATTTAAACCGTCACATATCAGGGACTCCATGAGTTTTGAAGGTAATGACAGAAGAGTCACCGGCCGATAACTTGAAGGTTCATTGCGTCGATCTCTTATAGCCTTCGTGCATATGTTCCTGATATGTTTATATTGCCTATACGCTCCATCGTTATTAGTTCGTTTGTATTCCGCCCAACAGTGCCTTTTGTGGCTTAGCAGGCGAAGGGTACGGTTCTTGATTACTGTAGGTGGCTTGCAGCTTTTGGGAACCGTTTGAGGAACTGAATGGTTTGTAGCACATAAGAGCGTGTGCAGTAAGAAGTCCCAATGACCATCCACATCGAGTTGAGGGTGAATATCCCAAACCACCTGTTGTAGATAGTCATGTAGAGCTGGCACATTCAGCCGTTTAAAATTCCAACGCGAATTATTGGTGGGATAACTTAGCTTAGTTTTGATGACAAAACTGAAGGCTATGACGGTATGATCGCTCTTTCCCAGAGGAGCCAGGATTGAGAGGTTGTCGACTAGGAATTCTTCGTTAGTGAATACACAGTCTAAGCGCGATGGTGTCTGACTGTTTCTCCAACGAGTTGCCGACCTCACGTTTTCATATAAGCCCAAGTCATCGATGAGGTTGTAGAACCGAGCTTCAATTGAGTTGTCGCCTCCAGTGAGACCCAAAGAGGATTATTTGCCCAGAATTCAGAACTCAAGCTGGTGATGAGGTTGTAGTGACTCATATTTATCACGAGAACACGACTGGTTTAATAAAAACAATTATTATCATAACCAACTGCACCAGTGTTTGCTTTAATGTGCTTTTGTTTGGCTGTGCTAATGACAGCTATATTGTGCTTCCATTCTTATTCTCACACTTTTGATTGTGACTTCGCGCGAATTCGGTTACGTCCAGTAACCAAGCTTGTATCCTGGAACGATCTCGGTATCCTTTCGATGCCACGAGATCGCCAGCGAATATATCTCGATTTGGTTCATTAACTACCTTCTGATATTTGGCTTCCGGGGGATTTTATGGATTTATTTGGTTACGTTCAACTTACGCCTTCTGATTTACTTGGAACGTGTTTCTTGGTAGCGGTGTTCATAGTCAATTCCAACTCGACACCACGCTACAAGGTTACACTAAACGTCAAATTCACAACTGAAAACCTGTGATAACTGTTACTGTCTGTTTTGGTACATTATTATAGTGAACGTTCGGTATTTATGAATATACTGATGCTGTTCGAACTCTGTTTCGGGGATATCAGTAAATTTTACTTTGTTTATATTTCATGGTAAATCCTCAGCTCACAAATCTTAACCATTTTACACCAATATATGATGACGAAAGTATATTTCCGACAAAAAAACGGTACAAACCATTTTTACAAGTATGACTAATATGATACAGTGAGGTTTTCACTAAATGCTCAAAGATAATGTGGATACCCAACAGGCTTGTTAAAACGCAACATCAGTAAATCAGAAATGGTTAGCTGGAGTGTGTTCAGTGGAACTTACCTGCCAAATATTTGTATGATGAAACTAGTTAGTAAGTATTCAGTTGTTACAAAGTAGCGAATGGAAAGCGTTTTCTATAAGCTGTGACCCTGACAAATGCGTTTGTATGTTCTATGTATCGGGTGTGAAAAGAAGCTTTGTGGGTGTACACTGAAAGTGAGGTGCTGTAAAGAAAAAAGAAAACAGAACAACTAGGTGATCAGACATAAACCTCAACAACGCCTCACTGTTTGTAGATGAGCAGAAAAAGTCATAGACAGGCAGCAGATAGAACTAATAATAACGTTTCTCACAAAAATGGGCCCTAATTCGATAGTTTCCAAATAAGGGAATATAGTGATAAAGGGCAGTGCATTGTAATGTGCATCAGGATGGACTATACTATGACGTAAAAGCTGAAATTGTAAGCTTAAGGGCCACTCTTTAAAGTCGAAGGCTCAACAAAGGCGAGTATAGCTCGTAGTAACACTAATAACTTTATTGCTTCTAACATTTTTTCTGTTCTCAATCATTAAATCACATCCATTAAGTTGCAAACGTTCAGAGCGAAATTAAGCACGGTATAAGGGATCTTGATAGAATGACAAACTCGCTGTAGTATTTGAAACATGGATTTCAAGAGGAACAAGAGCAAGACAGCGACCTTAGCATCACCGATTGGTTGATCATCCTCTATAATAGGGCTCCGAAAAACAAATAAACTGTTAAGACACACAAACATGGGTGGATTGAAATCACCGCCCTCACCATAAGCATTCGCAGGTCAGTATTTTTGTGATGTTAGGCTAATTTAAACTGATTATAATAAAATAAACTATATCCTACTCGAGGCCCCACGTTTCGCATCATACTTGAAGACAGTATTTGCAATGATAATAACAATATATTCTCGGATAACAATATGTTGCATGAGGCATATCAATTTACAGGCAAGATAAAGCTGATACAAATGTCACAGGCTTTGATTTATTAGGTTACTCAGCCATGTTAATACATTATACAAGCTCCATGATACATGTTTATCAGACTGTTATAAGTTATGACCTATGTGTTTGGTATCGGTGCTGTACCGTAAGTTGCTACGATATAGAGTATGGACTTCGAAACAAATTTAGATCATTTTGAAAAGAGCGACGGTGGACAAATGTTTTTTCGATGTAGGCGGAAAGTGGTGGAATACAGTAGTCTTTGTTGTCATGAGGATATCATTATTCTGCCATATTATTGTGATTAAAACCCATTTTTCTGTTCATTTCGATTAGACACGCAATTCTTTTCGATAGGTTCGCGAGTTTCACTTGATGACTACGATTCCCTCAATAATTGTTATTTTTACGTTTAGAAACGGATAGAGTTTAAAGCCAAGTTGTCCTTGTTTTGAATATGACTTTCATTTGGACTATGAGGTCGGCAGTATCGCGTTTACAGTTCTAGTGGAACATCTGTAGGAAAAATTATATCCTACGAATTTTCGACCAGTAACTCATCAGAAATTCATACGTTGGGTGCTTTTAAATGTCTACGGAGAGTGATAAGACTTAGCGAATTACTGAATTGTTTCTCCACTATTCAAAAACTCATAGCGATGACCAGTTTGGAGGAATCGGTTACCGAGTGGCTTCCTTGTTACAGTTATAATTAGCTGAAGTACATTTAGCTCAGATGCAAAGAGAAATTGAATTGGAAAGATTACGTTTAAAGGTGGGGAGGATATTAGATTCAAGATGTGGTTGACAAGATGATGATGTACGAATCTGCATCTGCTCACGTGCAGTTGTTGCTCTTCATGGAAATGACTGGACAACATTTATATCTAAAGATTTAGATCTACCAAAGAGAGAGATCATAAGGTTTGATAGTAATTCAATGAACTATTAAAGTTTCATATGAAATTTTGAAGACTGCTTCGACGGAAGTGTTTGATTTCGATCTCGGCTAAACTAGTTGGTTTAGTATTGTGATAGTGATACTGAGGCTACTATAATTCATTG